TACTAATCCTCTTTCCCATTGTACACATAGATCCAGCTCGAACCAAATCCTATCTCCTGGCTGTTCGTGACATCTTCAAAACATGTTTTGTACCACGTCTTACCCTGCCCAAGGAATGGGTGTCTCTCACATCAGCTGATGGAGAGTTCAAGAACAAAATGGGTGACAGGAAATCTTTTCCCCATCATCTGGTTCCTGATTTAGCGATAAAGTGGGGTGGTGGCCAGGGGATTAAGAAAGCCATGGTCACCCTCATGTCATGGTCGAGCCACTGTGCAGTCTGCTCCCTCGCCCCATCACCACTGTGTTTGTGTCTGCCCCAGGCGTGCTGTAAAAAGTCTCTCCCTGCCTGGGTCACCCAGAGCACCACAGTCCTCACAGATCACTTGGAAAAGAAATTTTTAAAAAAGAAAGTATGAGAACTGTCTCTCAAGTGGTCGCTCAGTCTGTGTGTGGTGAGGGCGTCTGCCTCTTCTCGCTGCCGTGTTTTATCGCACTCTGTTCCTCCTTCTTTTTTTCCCATTCCTAATATAAATGTGAAAAATCCCAAAATGGGAATGTCAGAACATTTTGACACTAAAGTTATCAGAAGAAAAAAAGAAGGAATGTCTTCCCTCCCTGCAAGGCACTCTCACACGTCAGATGCATCCAAGAGGAAGAGCCTGAATTTTAACTGTGACAAACATATTTTTTGCACTTGCAGATGTGCCAGTGAGATGATTGTCAGCAAGGACAGAATGGTTCGGACAGGCAGAGCTGAAGGCAAGTCCAGAGCTTCTCAAGATTGGAATTAGAAAACACAGTCCTACTGTCAAGTACTCCTCTGAGGCTGAATGACTCATGTCAGTTTAATGCAAAATTGCAAATCTCTGCAGTTTTTTGGGGAGGAACTCTGCCCTGGATTCAGCACAAGGTCTGTCCTGCTCTTCGTTGCTCTCCCCACCAGCGTACAAAAAGCAGCTGTAAAATCCCTCTTGCACAACTTCCCCATTTGCAGAAGCCCTTGGTCGGGAAGAAACAACTTTGAGGTTGGAAAAGAAGTGTGTCAACCAGGTCCAGCCCCTATGCAGCTTCTCAGTCGAGTTGGTATGAAGCCAACTCATTCAGGAAGGTTTCAATATTTCATCTGCTGGGCACAAACCCCTTGTATTTCCATGTCATAAAGCAAATGTATGTTATACCTTGAGAGAACCTGCTTCCTGCTGAGTCCAAACTTTTTTTGCATTTAAGAGAGAAGCACTGAAGAAATACAAATTCCTCAAGTGAGGTTAACTATCCAAAGACTACAGTTAGTTGGTTTTCCTTTAATCCCCACACCTCCATCATCATCAGTGCATAATCTGCATCAGGGAAAGAAGTCACACTTTTCTCATCAGTTACAAAGCTGAGGAAAACAGAAAATAATTGCTCTCTTGAAGTGCTGATGTGCAGAGCCACATCCCTCCGGTACATGGAGGGAGGAGGGGATGCGGCAGTGGGAGGCAAGTGCCTTCTGCAGGGCTGGGGTGATACAGAAAGGCAGGAGATAGATAATCTGACTTGCGCTTGCAGCATGTTAAAGAGAGGCAATGTGCTCTTATCCATAAAAGTATTTATAAAAGCTAGAAGAGGACAAGATGTCCTGTGCAGGTTTGGTTCTTATGGGGCCCTTTGCAATGGTTGTCACATCTAGATTGACAGGATCGTTATACATTTCCATGGATAACTTGTATGTGGGAGCAGAGTGGTACAAGTGGGAGGGAGAAGCTGGAACTGAAGAACGCCTGATGGCAGCTCCATGGTGGGATCCACCATTTACCCCACCAGAGCCTCCTCAGCCGGCTGGGGTGGCCAACACTATGGCTACCCCTAGCTTTGGAGGGCAGGTGGCTCTTCACATTTGCTTTGGCCATCGCAAGGACATCGATATGTTTAAAAAGAGTCTCAAAATGAGGAGTTTGTCAGCTCAGGGAGACTCAGCAGAGAAGGAAGGGAACCCCAGCAGCTCAGCCCTCCTGGATGCGTGCTTTCTCAGGAACCCACCTCCACAGCCCGGTGTCCCCAGGGCAGTGCTGGCCTGAGCCTGCCTGTCCCACGACAAGGTCTCACAGAGACATAACTTAGTGCAAAAACAGCGAGACAACTCGGAGACGTGAGGAGTCACCGGCATTGCCATCTGCAACACTTGGGAGGTCAAACGTCAGCACAGACTGAAGGAATTCAGCTGGGCTGACGTGCTCCCTGCCCCTCACATCGCAAACCCACACCTAAGAGAGGCTCCCTGGCATGTCTCTGCCTTGTATACTTAGCAAAAGGTATCTTGTTGCTGTGCTTACTAGCCAAAATAAATGCCACCCTCCCTTTGTGTTTAGGCCACCAGGCTAGCCCCTGCACCCGCAGGGTGCAGCTGTGAGAGCCCGTGGAGCCGCCCTGGTTAACCAGTGACGGGAGCGAGCCCTCCCTGCCCGCACAGGGACAAGTTTCCGGCGTTCGCCCCTGCAGCTCCCCAGCGAGCTACCAGCTCGCTCGCTGCGGGGTGGAGAGCTGTGTCCAGCAAGGGCTGCGCGCTCAATCCTCTGAACCGCAGCAGAGGAGCATCTGGCTTGTCCCCAGGAGCACGGCTCCGGTAGAAATACAGGCTGTGTGGCACGGTGCCGTGCATCCATCACAGACAGACGGCTCTGGCACCGTGGCCCCCAAACAGTTGTTAATCAGCAAAAGAGAAATACGTTGTAATGCCCCTCATGACTTAGAGAGCTTGAGAGGTCTGTCTCAAGGTTGTGACAAGCCCTGCCCTGTCTCCCATCCATTATACAGCTCAGGACTCTTTCCAAAACTTCAGAGATCATTGCAGAAGGGAGCTTGGGACAAACCAGCAGATCAGACTCAGCTAGGAAGTGCTCAGTGTCTGATTTAGTCTCTGGATGGGTTCAGTTCTGAACACAAACACGGTTACCAAGTCTGCACGTGAAGAGACACGAATCCATGCAACTACAAAAGTTGCACAGAAACACCTATGGTTTTCTTCAGACATTGCCGTTTGTTCTGATATTACGGGAGATAATTGTTCTTCCCTCCCTTCCTCCCGTGCTCTGCCTCCCACCTCTCCGCTCGGCGAGGAGAAGACAGCAGAGGGTGTCTCATACCACAGAGCCCTGCAGACCCCTCAGCACCCCCGCAGTGCACAGCCCACACGCTCTCCTCTTGCAACGAACACACTGCGGTACGCAGTGAAGGGTGGGGTGCCTGAGGTGTGGGTTCAGATTCACCGGCACCCCAAAGCGCCGACCAGCTGTGTCCTGCAGCCTGGGCGAGGCCCACCCAGCTGCCAGGGCTCCTGCAGAGGCGGCTGCCGCTGCCTGGCACAGGGGAAGGCTTTGACTGCGCTTCAGGAAGAGGCAGACACCCCAGCGTTTTCTGAGCTGCTAAAACAAAATGGCAAGCACCCCTCCTCCCAAAGAGCCACTGAAGGGCCCAAGCAGGGTGAGGGCATTTGGGGAAGTTTATCCTTTGCCTTCCGTTGGTTCAGAAGATGCAGCAGTGGCTGGTGGGCCTACAAAGGCAGAACCTGAGAAGAGGCAATGGGAAGAGTCATGATCCCTTTGCTAGAGAAGACGGGGTAGGCAGCCTTCCCCAAGGTGCTTCCCGTGGGGTCAAGTTGTCCCCCTCAGACCAAACAGGGGCATGTATGCTTGCCAAAATGCATACACGACTTCTGCATTCTCACAACTCTTTCCTGAACACACCTCTGGAGAAACTGCACCTGCCAACACATACCTGTTACCTACAAACCCAGGCTGTCCAAGCGCCCTAAGGCCTGCTGGGTGCTTCTCTTGCGCCCTCCTTTTTTAAACATTTCATCGATCAGATATTTCAAATGCAAAGCAAAATCAATCCTTTACAAAAACTCTAGAGAAATACTCTTTCTAGTGACTCCAGCCATTTTGCAGTATCCGAGACACACTCACCTTAGTACATGAGTCGATCCATTTATTGTGGTGGTGGAACAGGGCACTGTCTGCCCCAAGATGGAAGGCCTTCGGTATCGCTCATCACCGCAGCACAGGATGATGAGGAAGGCACGTCTGAAAGACTTGTTCAGGAAGGCGTAGAGGAAAGGGTTCAACCCTGAATTGATGTAGCCCAGCCACAGAAAAGCTGTCCACAGCTTCCCCGGCACTGTGTAGTTTATGAAAGGGTCCACTATGTTTGTGATAAAGAAGGGGGCCCAGCACAGGCAGAAGCACCCCATGATGATGCACAGGGTCTTGGCAGCTTTGGTCTCAGTCTTCATGCGGTGTGTGCTGTGCTGGTCTGGGTGGTGCTGCCGGCCGTCAGTGGGGGCCCCCGCGCGCTGCAGCACCCGGATCTGGCGGGCGTGCTCCCTGGCCGTGACGTAGATGCGGTAGTAAGCCAGCACCATCAGGAGGAAGGGAATGTAGAAGGCCACCACGGAGCAGGTAATGGCGTATGGCTTGTTGACCATGAATATGCAGTAAGTGGAGTTGGAAGCCTTGTTGAACTGCCTTTGCTGAATCTGGGGCAGTGGGAGGAAGGACAAGGACAAAGAAGAAGGAAAGAAGTTCAGCACTTCTCTAATACCAGCAGTCTGTTTGCCAGGACACCTCACCACCGCTTTCTGATTCTCTCTCCCTCTTCCCCTCTCCCATTCGCAGTGCCTGCCTTACCCACTGCTGCCTCCCGCCTGTGCTTACACCACGGGCTCTCCAGCCCTGCTGGTCCCCGGTCTGCAGGACCAGCCCACGTTGCAGCTCCAGCATCCTCTAGCATGCCACAACCTGGCCAGTGAAAACCAGCTTAACAACTCGCCAGTTCAAACATAGCAAAGGGGAATAACTTCACTTCGTGCTGTGCTCACCGCTCTGTTCATTGGGGCATGGTTTTACACCAAGGATGCACAAGTTTCACCCACCCACATCCCACAGGGATTCCCAGACAGGCAGGGAAGGGACAGGGCTGCAGCAGCTGGGGGCAGCTCCAGGCTGGGGGTGACCCTGAGCTTCCCCAGCCCAGCCACAGCGGGCAGCAGCCCGGGCAGCAGAGCTCCACAGATTGAGTACGTCAGCTGAGATCTGGTCAATGACTTGTGATGGAACCAGAGACAGCAGATGAAGAAAGGGGAAATCACAACTTGCATGTGATTCTGGAGACCAGAGGGCATAACTGGGGTGGACAGGATTTCTCTGAGGCTATTCTTGCCACAAAACAATGTCACTGCATGTTCATCAGACCCATAATTTCTGGTGTTTATTCCGACAACAGAATAACCCCATCTCCTATTTAGAATGATAACGTCAAAATTATTTAATTTGGCATGTAAGGAAGTTTACCTCTAAAGTAAACTATGAAGCATTTTCACTAGGTGGTGTTTGAACCCCGCACTACCTCTCAGCATGCACATACCGAAATCTGCACGGTGTTGAATCTTTCCTGAAAAGGTGGGGGCAAGAAATCAGTGGAAGAAATCAGATACCTGTCGTGGTTTGCTAAATCAACAAAAGACATCTCCCTTTTCTACCAGCTGCACGTCCTAAAGGTGCTTGTCTGGAAGCAATTTTGGCTTTATCACCTTGTCTAGAGGCTTGGCAGCTGGCACCTGTTACCCTCCATGAGCCAAAAAGTATTCATATCTACTCGACTGAAACTGGGCATAGAACATGCCACATCTCTTTAAACAAGCTCTTTTAAATAAGGTGTTTTCACTGTTTGCCATTTTTTAATTCCTGCATTTCCAGATTGGAAGGAGAGCAGATTTGCAGCTCTTAACTTCTTGCCCTGTAGATGGGATCCTGCAAGTGAAGCCAGACTGTAGTGGGGAAAACTGACTCCTGGTGAAATGATTTGCATGGGGGAACTTCACCTTCTCATGCCCTTGAAGGCTCACACCAAGACAGGAGATGTTGATGGGACTGACCCAAAACACCATCCCTTCTGGGGAAGTCTGGGTTTCCTGGCTCTCCAAACATTGCTAGCGTGGCAAGGAGGGACCCTCGGGCTCAGCCGGCAGTGGCCAGCACTCCCCGAGAGCTGCAGAGGCCACAGTCCCGAGGTGTCCATTGGGAGCCAGCTGGGGCTTGGTGTGTTTTCGAAGGACTACTCACTGAACTGATAAGTAGATGTGGGCAAAATCCTGTCCCAGAGCCACCACTGTCTTTGTGATGGTCCTTCCAGGACAGAGTCATTTCAAAACCCCTTAAAGACATCCTGCAGAAATTCAGCAGCCCCTCTGCATCGATAACAAGAAGTTTCTCCTTCAGCCTCTCTTGCCTTCTTTTCTCTGAACACTGCTTTTTAAAGAGGAATATACAGCACTGAATACATTTGATATACCAGGTTGCTGCTACCTCCTTAGCTACTCACCAGATCAATGATGCCAATGCTATTCCAGCCTTGCATGATAGGGAGGAAAGAAATAAACGTCGGGATTACCCAGCACCCTCCAAGCATTACAGCGATGCGCAATGGAGTCATCTTGTTCCTGTAAACCAGAGGCTGGCAGCAGATAGCATAGTACCTGCAAGGAGAAAAGTGAGAGAACCACCATCACCAAAGGAGACTTCCAGCTCTTTAAAAAAAACCCTGTAAAGCAATTTCTCCAGCTTGTTTCTCCTGCCTTTCAAACTCGAGAAAAAAATGAGTCTATAGCCTATTTCCATTGACTGCCTCTCAAACAACGAGCTGAGGATATTTTCACAGCTTGAGTAAATAAGGTTTCACAGTGCCTTGCAGGGGAAAGCCGGTATTTTCTGTTTTCCAGCTAGGGAAAATGAGGCACAGATTAATGCTGCGGTTTGTCTGAGGTCGCAGAGCAAGGGAGCGGCTTCGTATCCAGCCCTCCTCTCCCTCTGCACTTAGTCACAAAGCTGTCTGCACCCTCCTTACCATGATGAACGAGTTCACCTTCCTTCCATTTAGCCATAACTGAGTAAATGTTGGGTTTTTCCTAAGTGCAATGGACATTTATTTTGACAAGACTGCAAAAGCTATTATTGCAAATTAACAAAGTGTTTCAGAGCTGTGAAAATGTCAGTATAATGAAGGGTGTTTTTCTGTAACCAAGCTCCTTTTCTACCTCCCAGGAATCAGCCTCTTGCCTGGCTGGGCTTTAACCTTCTGCCACAAGGACAGGGTAGATGTCTGCATGGGGCTTCTAGTCTTTTCACCATTGAGGGGACATGCCCTGTGCTCTCCTTTCTCCTCCTGGTCCATCCAACATCTTCATAGTACAACAGGTCCCTGCTATTAAAGTAACAACTAGCTATGAACTAAAAACATCTTCCCAAAGAAATAAGAAACCAACTCTTCTGTCTGGTCCCTGTGCTACACACCTGCTAACAGATTTCTAAATCAGGAAGGTGTATCAAACCTAAAACTGGAAATATTGTTGCTCTGAAATTAATATATGCCCGTAAGCATAGCAGATCATCAATGATATCATCCTATTGCAGATTTTTGGTGGTCCTGACCTGACAGTCTGTCTCAGGTTCCAAATGAAATATTTTTATCTTTTAGATTTTTGGATCTCAGCACACTCTGTAGAAACAGGCCAGTACTGAGGGAACTGCAGCCCAGAGACACAAAAAGTGCCCATAAATTCTTAGGTCTCCTAAATCACTAAATATATCATTCAGCTATGTGCCTGATGAATATATTTTCTTAGTGGATGAATAATGATCATCTGGTAGATGTAGTTTCCAGGTTTGGTAAACAGAGAAATTATGCAATATGGTGCCCCATAGATACGAGCACTGCCTTGAAGAAGTGGGCACAGTTTCAATAACTATTTATAAAGGGAATGAATTATCTGTCAGACAGTTTTTTGAGTCAAGCCTCAACATCAAGGTATAATGTGTACATAGGGAGAGCCTCACTGCTGAATGCCTATAAAAGTCCATTTTATGAGGTCAGTAGAATCATGAATTACAGACATTAAATTAACAAACACACACTAAAGCTGGACCACCAGGCTGAGGAGTAGCCTGTGAGAATTTCTAAGTGCCAGCAGCACATTAAAATAATACATATGCGAATGTCCATATACACACAGTTTATGTGTATGTATTAGAGAGATGTCCCTGAGGTGCGCAATTTATTTCATCAAGATGTGAGTGGGAACCATAAGTTTTGTGTTAAACAGGCACAAAAACCTAAGAAATTCTGATTTTTTTAAGACTTTTTTAAAAAAAGTCATGTGGAGTCAACTGAATTGCTTTATTTTGATAAAATCAGATTATATATTCCACACAAAAGGTTGAAATAATATCAAAGTGTCAAAAGAAAACATTTTTTTAAAGTCTCTTTGAAAAAAGATTCAAAATGTCACAGGGGAAAGATGTTGAAACAAGCATTCAACTATTTCAATTTGATCATGTCTACATTCTCTTCTGGTTTCCTGTATGCATGAAAATCAGCCTGTTCCTCTGAAAAGTTTCACTTTCAAAGAATGGTGTATTTGACAGTACCTGTTCTTTTAGAGCATTGAGTGGAATGTTCCTCTTGCGGAGCTCATGCTAACGGCTGTGGCAGGGTCTGATTCCTGTCCCTGCTAACACAGCCTTTACATCCCTCCCACGAGGGAGAAGGAGAAGCTGAATAATTTACAGGAACAGGATTTACTTAGTTTTGGAGCTTGCCTTCATTGGATCACGAGTTGAGCAAGCGAGGGTATCCAGCCTCAAAGGTACGCAAAACTCAACTGGGTAAGACCCTGAGTGACCTTAAATTAAATGAAGATAGATTTAAGTTTGAGTTTGGCCCTGTTTTGAGAGAAGGGCTGGATCAGAGACCTCCAGAGGTCCTTTCCAACCTAAATATTTCTGAGTCTACCAGACAATGAGGACCATCATGGTCAGATTTCAACATCCTAATGACTTCAGAGGACAGAATAAATACTTCTCTGTTCCTAGGATAACTATCCTCCTCATGACAGCCACAGAGTGTTTGTGTAACCTTGCCTTGTGTTCCTACAGCTTATTGCATTTGGATTTCCCCCTGCTCTCCAGATTTCCTTCCTCCAGGAAATAAACTGACCTTTGAATTCAAACAGGTATTTTCAGTAATGTTTTTGACTGCTTGTTAGGACAGATGGTGCTTCTCTTGGCATTACGTGCAACTGCTCTTCTAACTCTATACACAAGGGAGATATATCCAGCATATTTAATTGTTTACTACCTGAGAGACACCTACTGGAAAGGGCTACCCAGTGTTGGACAGCAAAGAATTCCTGTGACATGCCTGACAGCAAGTTACTGCAAGTCACAAGAGTCTACATTTATTTGCAGAAAGGGCAAAAGAATGAATTCAATAAATAAATGGGAAAGAACAGCCAACACATCAGCTACCATTTCACAAGTTGAATAAGCAAACAGAAAAGGAAAACCACAATACATTGCTAATTAACTACAGCAGGAAAACAATTCTTCCAAGCAGTTTGAATTATTACCTTTCTGTACTTCTATCTCTGCTGCAGCTGACAGCATTACACTGACTTGTACATGCTATTAAAGGCCATTAGAGTAAAAATTATGCCTGTAAAAATGACATCTCAAGCTCTCATATTTCTTCCCTCCCAGTGATTCAGCAGCAATTTTCCTCCACTTACATGTCAAAAGATTTTTTTATATATATGTATCTATATATATATCTCTAACTGCTGCTACTGTGACTTCCCTTGCGTTCAGAAAGTCGAGCTGGATTCCTCCTGCCCTACACCATTATCGGTAACAAGGTTCTGCAAACAGAGTGTGGGTGACGATTTTGTTGATGTGAGGGAGGCAGAGAAGCACACCATCCACTTTTTCATAGCTCAGCAGCATTTCCATTCAATGGCCCAGAGAGTCAGATAATAGAAATCTGCCTATGTTAACAGAAGTCATTGAAGTCACACCAATTTTTGCAGTAGCTGGTGATTTGATGTATGTGGTGGTTTGGGCATTTAAGCAGGTATTTATTCATTGAGAGAAAAGTAATTATATCTCTAAGGTTATCAATAGTTTTAGTCAAAAGTTGAAATAAAGCCATTTTCTAATTCTACATTTCTGCTTGCTTTCAAGCGAGAGCTATTTTCCTGTGCTTATAAAGAATATTTATTATATACTGGTATGAGAGTGTGATGGATGAATATAAAATGTAATACACACACGTGATTAATATGATGTCCAAGTTTAATTAAATATTAATTATTGCTATTATCAGCCAAGATCCATCTTTCTGCAGTTCCCTGAAAATGTTAACTTCCCTGTTACCTACAGCAGAGCAGATGATGTGAAACACATCCTCTCCTCCACCTCTGTTGTGACATTCTTCACTGGAGGGGAAATACAAGAATCCCCTCCTGGAGCTGTAGATCTTCCAAGTAGCTCCATAAAGCAAAGGTTATTATAATACTTTTCCTTTCCCACGTCAGATGAATCAAGCGATAACTTTTTACAGATGGCTCAAAAGAACAAATCCATAGCTCTTACAGCCTTACTCACGGCTCTTATGGCCACTGCAGACAGGTCCTGGCTACCGAGGATTTGTGACCTGCCTGGTGTCACTTGGTGGCTCTGTGAAAGAGTGCAGTGGCCAGACGCTCTCTCAAGGAAGACGTATGTGACTCCCCCTGGTCTTCCAGTGGAAGTTCCAGTGATACAGATTTGGCGGGGCCAATTAGTGCCAAGTGGGTCAATTCCCAAAAGTGAACCTCACGTGTTATGAACACTCTCCCAGCATCTGAGGCGATGCAGGTGCACCTCGGTTATGTTCATGAAAGCTATAAAAAATTCTCAAGGTTCAGTGATTCGGTGCCACTGGAGCTCCCACAGTCACATGGAGGAGCCTCATATACCCAGCGTCCACAAGCTGTAAGAGCAAAATGCTTTGTCCTTTCATGACAGGACTTGCACTTTGCCTGCCAGCAAGCTCCTCTTTACAGTCAGTGCTACACGTAAAACCCAAATGCAGATATCAATGCCTAATGAACTGTACATCAGTAACATGTTTGTACTTAACAGCCTTCAGCATTTGAGTAGAGAAGACATAATATCACATTCCTCAGCAGCAGGATCATGGACAGCTTGCCTAACATTAAACTTGTGTACATGTGAAGACAGGAGATGGCAGATAAGAAGGAAGCTGTGAAGCCAAAGAGAAAATAGACAGAAAATGAACCTCAGTTATATTCTTGCCTTGTATGACTGAAAGCAGAATCTGCTGTGTTGGTCCAAGTCTTTTGTGGAAATGTGTTGTAAATCCTGGGTGTTTGTTGATGCCATTTTGCCTATATGAAAAACCCTACACGTACACACACACAGGCACATATGCACACTTCTTGTATCATACCCAGCTTTGCCTCCAGGAAAAAAAAGGGGAAAAAGATTCTTGAAAAGCACATCAACTTTTAAGTGATGACACCTGTAGTTATTACAAGTTTATAGGTTCTAGGTTCTTGTAGACAAGAAAGGAAAAACTGAGACTGAGAAACAACACTGCGTTTCAACACCCGGGTGACCTAGATCTCACAGCAGCATAATT